CTAACTTCATTATAAAACAGATATTTATAGAGTTTACAAGTAAACCAACTCCTAAGGATAAGATTAAAAAACTAAGGATAAGATAGAAACTAGTTAACTGCTAAACAGTAAATAACTACCCTACAATACAGAGAACTTGGACTGTTGCAGTCTTATGCATATTTCTAACAGATGCAAATCAAGAAATAAAAAAGCATAATAGGGACTTCGTACAGGAGAAGGAAAAGAATAGAGATAAAACAGAGGTTGAAAAACCACATGATGATAAGTCACTAGAAGATAAACCACCTGATGATCCTGGATGGCTAGAGAAGACAACTGATAATAAATTTGTAATGGAGAAACAACAAGAACAGGAGAAAGGAGAAACACAAGGGCATAATACAGCAATATCACAGATTCAGACTGAAGAAAGTGGAATACAGGAGTCTTCCCAAAAATCTAATATAAATACAGACAATGAGCGATTATTGAAGAAGGAGTTTAACCAGAATCACAAACAATAAATGATGAACAGAAGCATGATGAACATATTGATATTGGGGTTGATAATGATGTGGAACACAACAAAAATACAAGCTTACAGGAGGAAGAGTTCATAAGAAACAGAGGTGATGTATCATCTAGACATACAGCAAGATTGAAAAAAGAGAACAGACAAGCAAAATCCATTAGAGAAAAAAGTGTGCCCCCTAAGGCAGCAAGGGGTGTACTAACAAGATTAGCTAGTGCCAAAACTACTTCTCAATGAATAATTCGCTTATATGAAATATAAGGTCTGTAAACACTCAACAGGCCTTTGAAAGAGTAGTTATGATGAATAGACAGAAACATTTTAACTTTATAGCCTTGATGGAAGTCATGGAACCCTTCCAGCACATTAGAGATATAGACATGTACAGACAGTGGTTGGGAATGGGTACAACTTGGCATAACATCAATGGGAAGATTTGGGTATTTGTGAAAGATGAGTTCCAAGTTGAAACAATAATGGATACTGATCAGATGCTAACTTTAGTGTTGACTCAGGTGGAGGGCAATCAGGAAATCACTGTTTCATTGGTTTATGCAAGTAATGATAAAGATACTAGAATAGAACTTTGGGATGCTCTTTATGAATTATCCACACAAATTCATTCTCCTTTGATTGTAGGGGGAATTTCAATGTAATTCTAGATGAGGCTGAGAAGCTTGGTGGCCTGCCAATCTCATTTGCTGAGACTGAAGACTTTATGCACTGTGTAAATATTTATCAACTCGTTGATATGGAATTCACTGGAAGCATATACACTTGGTGGAATGGTAGGTCAGATGATGCTTGCATATTTAAAAGGTTGGATAGGTGCTTGGGGAATCAGAGCTTGATGAATATGTTCCCGAATATTGAAGTTGAACACTTGATTAAACAAGGTTCTGATCACACTCCTCTACTAATCAGTTACAAAGAAGATGGCAAAATTGTTAAGAAACCTTTCAAATTTCTTAATTTTGGGGTGGAACAGGAGTCATTATTGAAGGTAGTTAAGCAATATTGGTCAGGGGACTTTGGTCCAGACCCCTTCTTTAACGTTCATAACAAAATGAAAAAAGTCAGTAAGGCACTGGCTAAATGGAGTAGGGATACATATGGAGACATTTTTAAACAGGTAGCAACTCTAGAAGAAGTGGTGAAGGTGAATGAAATAGAATTTGAACAACATCCTACTAGTGGAAACAGGGAGAGACTACAAAAAGTGCAAGCAGAACTTATCAAATTTTATGTTGTGGAAGAAAAGTTCCGGAAACAAAAAGCCAGGATGCAATGGTTCAAAGATGGAGATAGAAACACAAAGTTCTTTCATTCACATGTAAATGGTTAGAGAAAGAAGTTACAAATCAAGAAGATTCAAGATCAAAATGGTATTTGGTTGGATAAGGAGGAGGATATCATCCAGGAGGCTATCAGAGTTTACACAGATCAGTTTGCTGAAGTTCATATTCCATCTAACTTTGACATATTGAATCATATACCTCAACTAGTCAATGAAGATCAAAATAAACTGATCCATGAAATACCAGAAATTGAAGAAGTAAAGAGAGCAGTATTTGGTCTAAATGCAGACAGCACAGGTGGCCCTGATGGTTTCACTGAGAAGTTCTACCAATACTGTTGAGAAATAATTGAAGAAGATGTGGTATCTATGGTGCATTCTTTTTTTGTGGGCAAGACCTACCTAGATATGTCACGTGTCCTAAAGTAGTGTTATTGCCCAAAAAGAAAGCGATCATGACGTTCTCTGACATGAGGCCTATAAGTTTGAGCAACTTTAGTAGTAAGATATTCTCCAGAATCCTACATGACAGACTAGCCCACCTATTGCCAACAATCATTTCCCCCCAGCAAGCAGGATTTGTTAAGGGAAGGAGCATTATTGAAAATATATTGTTAGTACAGGAAATTGTACATGATATTAGGATAAGGTGTAAGCCAGCTAATGTTGCAATAAAGCTGCATAAGATAGGCATATGACAGAGTTTCATGGTTATTTTTAACCAAAGTGTTTAGAAAGATGGGTTTTGGATAAGGTAAGCAACAGACTTTTCTCCTGGACAGAAAAATTACTATCCATTGGTGGAAGGATCACTCTCATTAAGCATGTCTCGCAAAGCATGCCCATACATTTGTTATCAGCCTGTGATCCACCTGCATGGGTTATAGCCAACCTACAAAAGATGTTTGCTAAGTTTTTTTGGAGTAACTCAGTAGGAAACTCTAGTAAACATTGGACAGTGTTGTGTCATCCGCATGACGAAGTGGACTGGGATTTAGAAGTCTACGGGATGTTTCAAAAGCTTTATATGCTAAACTATGGTGGAATTTTAGGACTAAGCAGTCCTTGTGGAGAATGTACCTGAGCAATAAATATTTAAAGGAGCATGCTGTGTTAACCGAATGGAAAAGAGGAACATATGTGTGGAAAAAGATGATACAGAGATATGGTGGCAACAGAAGCAAGGACAATCTCATTTTTGGCTAGATAATTGGACTGGACCCGGAGCATTGTATCATGCTACTGGACACTGGTACAATTTTTTATTGTGATAGAACAGTAGTACGAGTGCATGAGTTATTGAATTCAGGCAGATGGAATGGATCAATGTTAAGGGGTCTACTGCCTAATGAAATAGTGGAGCATATTCTAAGCAACACCCCTCCTCCTACTGAAAATGGACCGATTGATAAACCTTCTTGGAAGCTAGAGGCAAGTGGCAAATTCACAGTAAAATCTGCATTTCAATTAGTAAGACAGAGAAAGAGTCAAACATGCTATATAAGAAAATATGGATAAAGGGCCTACCAGTTAAAATCTCGTCCCTTCTGTGGAGATTTTGGAAGTATAAACTTCCTTTAGATGATGTGGTAAGGAGATGGGGTTTTCAATTTCCGTCCAAATGTTATTGTTGCCAGTCTCCTAGGGTAGAAAACTTTGTGCATGTTTTTCTACAGTCTCCCGTAGCTCAGTTTGTATGGAAGCAGTTTAAAACCAATGGGATTTGATATACAAGGATTACAGATTACTCAAGTAATTAACCTATGGTGGGATGCCCCTACGAATCCTCATGTTAGATATATTTTCCAGGCTGTCCCAGCGATTATATTATGGGAGCTACGGAAAAGAAGAAATGCTATTAAACATGGAGGGAAGATGTCCCATATGAAGCTTATGTATCAAGTGATGCATACTATTGTAATGTTCATGAAGGTAAGGAGTAACTTCAAGTATGCACCCTACGAATGGAGTGAATTGGTGCAGGTATTACAAGTTTATACTCCTAAATTAAAGGTTAGGCAGGTACTATGGAAGCCCCCTGAAAGAGGATGCATTAAATGCAACACAAACGGTGCCTCAAGGGGAAATCCAGGAAGAAGTTCATGGAGCTTCTGTGTTAGAAATCATAGTGGGAATATTATACATGCGCAAGCACAAGAAATGGAGGATACAAATAGTACAAATACACAAGCAGAAGCAATGGCTATCCTTCAAGCTTTGAAGTTCATCAACAACACTCAAAGTACACAGGTGATCATAGAGACAGATTCAGTACTACTTGAGAAGGTAATACACAAAACTTGGGAGGTGCCATGGCAGATAGTAAATGTGATGGGAGGAAATATGGGAAATTATGAACAACTGTAACATTACAGTGACACATATCTTGAGGGAAGGAAATAAAATTGCTGATTACTTGGCAAATTTTGCTTTAGATCACGGTAAAGTTCTAATTACCTCATTCCACCATTTGGAGATAGAAGGAAGAAGGTTGATCAATAATGACAAGTTACAGATGCCCTATCTGAGGAAGAGACCATACAAATGAAGGAACTTGATGAAGATAAAAGGAAAAGATATTGCAATCTCTATACTTGAATCCAATGGGAGGAGAGCATAGAGGACATTTTAACTAATTGGTTGTTTGATTTTGCAGGTGCTAATAGATACAACAACACATACAGTGGGAATTCCCACATAACAAAACAGGAGAAGGTTCGACATAGCTTAAGAGAAAATTAGAAGCATCCAATACAAAATAACACCTATGAGTCCTCCAAAGTACATTTTCAGCTGATACTTGTTTAATGTTTCGTATTAGAGTTTTCGGGTGCTCATTCTATTGATCAAAAATTAGTTGAACAAAGTATGATGCAAAAAGACACAAAGGAAAATGGATGGCGTACATCTAAAATCGAAGCTATGAGGAATGGAACAACAATTAAAAGGAAATCTAGTTTCAACTTACCAGGTCAGAAGCATCTAAAAATTCCAACTGGTGAATGGCATAAACAACTGGTTTTTCATGTAGAAGTTGGATTAAGCATTTCTGTAATATGATGAAGGTTGTTGCACATCAATAATAGCAACAAGATTACTGAAATGAATTCTACAAAAGTAGGATGTAGTACTGGCCTTGAACATATGAGCTCCAGTTTGTGCACCAACAGCATTGAAAGGGTCATCTAGCAGGTAGATGTCTGAATCACTATGAATAGCTCAGGCCAACTGAGTTCTTTGCTTTTGTCCACCACTTACGTTCATTCCTCTTTCTCCTACCAAATTTAGATCTCCGTTAGCCCACATCTCAATGTCACGTTTCAAAGCACATCGTTCCAAGAGCTATGTACCAAACCAGAGCAATCACTGCAGCAACTATTCTTAGATTTCAGTGTTATGCCAGATCAAGAATCAACATTTCAAATTCAACAATCTGTTGAAAGCTGAAGGCACACAACAACAGAAACTTGTTACTTGATAAATGAATCATCAAATTAGTTCCCATGAAATGTTCAGGCGGCCTTCATTTTCTTCATGAACAATTCGATCTTATCGGCAGCCTCATACATATTCTTTTGTTTAATTTCCTGCAGCAGAACACTGCATGTCTTGTATCGAGGAGTAATCTCTTGGCGGACCATATCCTCAAAAATAAGATACGCCCATTCACATTTATTTGCTCTGCATAAACCATGGATAAGAAGTGCATAACTTGATAGGTCAAGACTTAGATGATGCTTATTGACAATGTCATTCAACATTTTTTTCAGGAATTCATCCGCCTTTCCAACTTTAAAGGACAACTTGAGGAGCGGAAAGTATGTCTGTACATCAGGTTTACAAAATGGTGAACTTTCCAGATCCCTTAAAAATTCTTCCGCTCTTTCCTCTTGCAAATGATGGCAAAACATGGCAATGATAGTATTGTAAGTCGATGTATTGGGTTGAACACCATTTCTGGGCATTTCAACCTTCAAAACACGAGTAGCTTCTTGTAATCGGTGTGCCATGCCTAATGTATGAATCAGAGCATTGTAAAAAAGTGTATCAGGTTTACAGCCAACTGATTTCATCCTCTCAGCAATCTTAAGGGCTTCCTCAAATGCCCCTGATTTTGTCAAGAAACACATGATGGTGGTGAAAGTAACAACATTTGGTACACATCCTTCTCCTTGCATTTCATTAAGTAGCTCATAGACCTTCTGGAAGTTAAATTGCTGGCAGTAAGACTTGATGATGGTTGAGTAGCTGATGACGCAAGGACAACAACCGCTGCCTTTCATCTCCTGAATTGTCCAGTACGCTTCTTCTACCCGATTAACTTTGCACCAACCATGAACAAAAATGTTAAACGTGTTTGCATTTGGTGGGATATGCAACTTGAGCTCGTAGAAGATTTCACGCGCCTGTTGGACTCTATTTTCTTTGCACAGAGTGTCAAGTAACAAATTCATTGACTCTGTATTCTTCTCCAAACCGAATTTTCCCAACTCATCAAATATCCTCACTGCTTCTTTCCACTCTCGTGCACCTGCAAACCTTCTCATAACTTTTGCTATTGTATTAAGAGAAATTAGGTGGTCTGCATGCATTTCGTCTAACAATAAACGCATCTTTTCCATTTTCTTCATTTTCCCGAGTATATCCACCAACTTATCGTACAATTCTGGTGGGGGCTTGTAGTTGGGACGTGATTGTGCCCATCTAAAAGCACCAAGGGCAGACTTCCAATCATCTTTGAAGCGATAAAGAACCCTATTAACAAAGTTGTCACTGATCTGTATGGAATCACAAGCCGGGTCAGAAAGCAATGATTGGAGAACCTCATCTTCACTAGTTCCATGACTTATTCTAGCAAGTACAATATTAACATCAACATCACTTCCCAAGTTCACACATTTCTGCTGCTCACCAGGAATTCTATCGCCAACAAACTGGGGACTATCAAGACAAAAATCACTAGACAAGGTGGAAAAGTAGCTAAAGCAACTTGTACGAGCTACATTGGAACTGTTACAAACCCGAAATGGGTGAAAAACCGAAAAGTGTGTAGAGGTTAGTTTTCTAATATTGAAGTTCATGAGATTAGTATCAGTACCACACAATACAATACAAACACGGCAAGTCAGTATTTATCGTTCCTGCATTTACACATTGTAAAGAAAATCAGCAACTCAACAGTTATACTAATGCAATGGAGATAAAATTATTAGAACTTAGAAGAAAATAAACATATTTTAGCATCATTTCTTTCCAAATTTAAGACATAATCAATCGAACTGTATTTTCCGTAAAATTTCAGCATATGCATTAGAATGAATTTGTCAGCAGTTCCTTTAATACTTTACCGATGTGTCAAGTCTTGAAATAAGAAATCTAGAGAGGATAATTACATTGATTTGCTGTTACTCGAATCAAAACAAACTGAACCTAATTAAGAAGTGATAAAAAACAAAACGGAGAATATTTTCCGGCGAATTACCTGTGGTTCCAATCCTTGTCGCCGGATGTTTAGTAACTTTGCACCGGTAGTGGTTTTTGGCAGGTATTACTACTACTGGCGGCTAACCGGATCTTCTCGGCCCCTTTTCTTCATTTTCCTCTCTTCTTTGAACAGCCCAAATTTCATACGGCCCATTTACGTTTACCTTAGATAATTTGCATAAATGTTCATGTTTTGAGTAGTCTTTAATTTTTGTCCGATGGTTTTTAGTTTTCATTCTTCAAAGTTTCGACAAAGAAAAAGAAATCCGCAAAAATAAAATTCGCAAGACATAAATTTAATTAAAGTGTGTGCCTCAGACATGAGTTCAATGGCACAAGTTATGCCCCACAATATTGTTGGGCATGTAGCAAGAGTTAATGGAAAATTGAGGAAAGATGAAAAGAGAGGAACTTGAAAAGTCCTCTTATGCTTTAGTGAAAAGGCATTTCTCCCTCATTGGTGGTGGAAAGAAAAAAAGAAAGAGTTTAAATATATAAACACTCCTATTAATTGTTAGAAGGGTTGGAAAGAGGGACACCCTCGCGACGTCGTCTCTCGGCTCGGCTTTGACTTTGGAAAATGATCAATCGAGAGATTATTTTTTGGACAAAGTTTGTTTTGGGTTGCAACCTTTCAGCTTTGGCCTTGGAAAATGATCGATCGAGAGATTATTTTTTGGACAAAGTTTGTTTTAATTATTTAGTTTTCATGAATGGTCGTGTGGATTCTGAAAGTTTTGGGTATCAATACACTGATGATTGAGATCATTCTATCATGGGAGGACATATTCCAAATCAAACCTCGGATACTAGAGGGGAATAATTTCCTTAAGGGGACACTGTGCATTCAGTGGGCTTGATCTTTTCCGTTCTGTCTTTTTTCAGATTCTGGTATGTTTTATAGATTTTAGTTGTTCTGAATTAATTTATGTTCTTCAGTTCTTACTGGTACATTAAAACTTTGGTTACTTCGTGTTTCTGCAAAGTTTATTGGAATCAGTAATTCTGTTTTAAACACATATTGCTAACAAATATAAGTTTAGTGCTACCAGTTATACCCAAGGTATAGTTGCAATGACACAAGTTATGTTCTAAGACACAAATATAATGACACAAATTATATCGGAAGATAAAAGAAATTAAGCTCTGGGCACAAGTTATATCCAAAGACATAAATTTAGTGGCATAAGTTATGCAATAGAGCATAACTTAAGTGACACAAGTTATGTCACAGGGGCAAAAGTAAGTTTAATGATACAAATTATGCCTCAAGACATAAGTTCAGTAGGACTAGTTACGCCACATGATATAAGTTCAATGTCAAAAGTTATGCTCCAAGATAAAAAAATTCTAAAAATCTTACCCTTTGAATCAAATACTAACTTGTGCTATAATGCAAACATTCTCTAAAAGCTTTTCTCTTGCGATATTAGTTTTGTCCAATAAAATTAGGCTATAATTAAAGATATTTTGATCCATAAAATTTCATTAAATGAGTAGTAAGAGAAAACAATAATTAAGAAATTAATAATTTTATGGATAAAAGTTAAAGATCACCTCTAGAATTGGAACAATTCGTGCAAAAACATATTTCCTTAAAGCAAGCAGTGTCATTTAAGTTTTATCCACTATTTTAAAGTATTTTATTTGTGTCCAATATTAACAAACTTCAAAAAGAGGCTGGTCCACCTTCTCTCTTCGTCTTATCTGAAATTACTATCCATCTTCGAATTTGAATTGAATTTACTACGCTTTACATGAAACATTAAGTTGATAATAGTTGATAAGCTTTTTGTTGGAAAAGCTTGAAAATAATAATAAACTATCATTATTATTTTTTTGACAACTGTTATTTTATTCTAAAGACTTATTTGTCATATTTAAGCTTATTCAAGGTAGATTTGGTATTGAATTGTGTATTTGATTGTTAAAATTCGAAAAAATAAGTTATTTGTTCTAGCAAAAATTTATTCATCTAAATTTCATGCTAAAACGTAAAAAGTTTAGCCAAATATATATTATGAGCTCATGCGAAAGTGTCTAAAGTTGAGACTTGTAAAGACTACAATTTCAATTTTTAAAAATGTTTGAAATTGGATATTATCAAAGTTATAACTTCAATTAAAGAATTTATCTTTGACAAGCTTTTATATCTAAAGATCACAACTTCAGTTAAAAAGTGTTTGAAGTTTAGCCCTGTTAAATTCACGACTTTAGTAAAATATGTCAAATTGATTTTGATCAACCATATCAAATTTAAGATAAAAAATATTTTCTCTCATATCAAACAAACTCTTAGTTGACATATAAGGATTAGACATGTAACGGTATTTTAGGAAATTGTTTTTCTCTCTACCAAATACTCTTAGAACCCGTTTGGCTATGTGAGATGAAATGATAATTTGAAATCATATGAGATAAAATTAAAGTAATTATATGAGAAAAAATTGAAGTAATTATATGAGAGAAATTGAAGTTTTATTTGAACTTGCAATTTGAGTTTTTTAAGTTATACTTTTTTGCTTGTAATTATAAAAATTCATAAATTGTGAAAAAAAATTAAAATTGCTTCAATTTTTTTTTTTATATTCTTAATAAATAAGCACAATTTTAACTTAGTATAATACACTACCACAAAATTATTGTAAAAATAATAAATTATTTATTGACCAAACTTTACATCGATAAAAAGGTAAAATTATACATAAATTAGAGTGTATTATACTCCCACATAATAGAAGTTGGTTTACTGTGATAAAAAAAACTGATTGATAAGAATCATACTAACTATAAGTTTTGTTTACGTATGAAGTAACTAGTTGATAGATTTAAAATGGTAATTTTCTTTTAATATGAACTATGGATCAATTTTATATTTGAAAAATGTGAAATCATCATACAAAATTCTCAAACCGAACTTTAATTACATGAAGCCATGTACAAATGCCTAAATATAAGGATTTGTTAGACTAATACGCTATCCATCTTTACTTTTTTCTCAACATTTTTTAGAAGAAAAAAAGGAAAACTCAACAAGTCTCAACCAAAGTACCCAGCCAGAATGTCAAAGAAATTGAGATAATAGTTCGCATAAGAAAGGTATCTCAACAAAAATAGTAGGTATATATAGGACAATAACATTTTGTTTGATCATTGTTACTCATTATTTCATAATGTATTGTATGATAAATACAATGTTTGGCTAGGCTGTATTGTTTGTTGTTGTTTAATAACATTTATATTGTGTTGTTTGATTGTACCGTATTGTATTATAATTTATAAATTTACTAAAATCTCTTTAATTATTCTAGGTAGAAGGTTTGACTGAGATTAAATACTATAGGGCAAAGTATAAAATAGTATTATGAAATATTAAGTAAGGATATAATTGGAAAAAGAAACTAAATAACAACACGAACACACCAAATCGATCGTTCCATAAAATGGGGGTTTTCATTGTTACATAACAACAAAATTTAACAATAAAATACAATAAATTTTAAGTAACAATCAAAACAAATGTTGTGTATAATAACAATACAATATAATACAATGGGTAAGAAAATATAACTAGTCAAGCCAAGACTGAAACTCAAGGATAACAAAAGGCAAAAAATTGTTAACTGATAGTCTGATACTGGAAAAAGTGAAATTTGATTCATTCATGACAAGTTAATAGTAAACAAACAGCGCAAGATTCCTCAAAGATAAACATTGTTCTTCTCTGGTTATTCCATTACCACTTAAACAAGAAGACCATTCCCAGTCCAGAAAACTAATACTCCAATGATTCAAGCAAAAACTAAATGGGTTGTCGGTTACTCCAAGCATCAACGCCTCCAGCAACGGAAGCCATATGGCAGATCAAATCAATCACACGGGAGCTGCACAGACAAACATATACAGATTTTGTGTTAATAAAAAAAAATCGTCATTTGCTAAGGAAGGTTCATAAGTGTAAAGAGGCACACAACATTACCTGTAACCACATTCGTTGTCATACCATGACACAACCTGCACAAAGTTCTTGCTCAAAGCAATTCCAGCCTTGGCATCGTAAATGCTTGACCTGCACCAAAAGTTACATTTCACATTAAACTACATGCAATTCAAGACCCCTTCTGAGATACCTGTTGTCACCAACAAAGTCTGTGGAAACCACATCATATTCAGTGTATCCCAAGATACCCTTCAACTTACCCTCTGATTCCTTCCTATGGACCAACAACACACAAGTAGTTAGTGTTGCTGCACAAGGGACAAACAAAAACAACACGTGATCAAACAGAAACTTACTTGATTGCAGCCTTGATGTCATCATATGAGGCTTCTTTCTCTAGTCTTACAGTAAGGTCGAAAACAGAAACATCACCAGTTGGAACTCTGAAGGCCATTCCATCAATTTGCCATTAAGGGATGGGAGCACTTTTCCAGCAACTTACATTATAATGAATGCAACTCGATCAAGAAAATACAAAGTACAAGTCTAATAGCAGATGCAGTAACCCTCAAACTCCAACGAAAATAGAATGAATAGCTATGCAACAGTAATGGGTTTTGCTTTGGAGAATTTGAGACTAAAATCCAAACTTTACAGACAATCAATAAGAAGATTTTCTA